GTAGACATGTATGTATCTTTTCATTTTAGTTTCCAATTGTTATATAGGAACATGATTGACTTAGTATATGACCTTATATCCTGTGACTTTGCTACATTCACATCTTTGTTCTATGGGATTTGGAAGGATTTATGACATTTTCCACATATATAATTTTGTGCTCTGTGAATAGGGAGTAAATCACTCATGATTTTTATTACATGGGACTTAGTTCTGCCCATTGAGACCATTCTAGAATGAGTCTAGTCATATTTCCATATCACTGCTCTTTATATACTGGACGTTCTCCTTTATATCTCCCCTGAGTCTCACAGTAATCCAAGCATACACTTCTCTTATTCTCTTTAAACTTAAAAAGCTAGTTACTCTACTCTGTGTGACCACCTTTAAATATATATATACATTCCTTTTAAAAGATAGTGGGAGATTGTGTGCAGAACTCGGATACTAATCTTTTTAGGGTCAAATTGTACTCATCATGACAGTAGAGCTGCAATAAAGATAATAGCCTATGTTATCTCATATAACTCTGACAATGACCTTTTGGATAGCTATTTTTCTTCCCACGTTATAGATAAAGAGACTTAAGCTTAAAGAAATTAACAAATTTGCCCATGGTTTCTCAGGTATATGTAAGAAACTTGGAATTTTTCCCAGGTTTCTCATATTGAATACTTTGCTCTTAAATTCTATACTAGTTTAAACCAGAAGTGTAATTGAAACTGTCTTTTTTAATGAATGAAATGGTAAGTAGTTACAAGATAATTTTGATAATTGAATTAGTGCTTTAATGAGAACAAATAAATTAAAATGTTGATTTTAATCTTGGATTACTTATTTATATATCTCTACTTTTGCATTATATTTATTTTTCTCTGTTCATCAGATTTTTTATTCACTTGATTTTTAGATTCACTTGTTGATAGATATGTAACTGCTGTTCATAATTTTTATCTTTACCTTTTTTCTTCTTCCTCTTCATAAACAATACCTTTCAGCATGTCATATAATACTGGTTTGGTGGTGATGAACTCCTTTAGCTTTTTCTTATCAGTGAAGCTCTTTATCTGACCTTCAATTCTGAATGATAGCTTTACTGGATAAAGTAATCTTGGTTGTAGGTTCTTGGTACACCCCTATAATTTGGATGTTGGAACGCTTAAAGTTGTTCCAGAGGCTCCTTACACTATCTTGATATTTTTGGATTCTTTTTTCTTTTTGCTTTTCCAGTTGGGTATTTTTTGCTTCTTCATATTTCAAATCTTTGACTTGATTCTTGGGATCCTCTTGTCTGCTGTTGGATATCTGTATATTATTCTTTATTTCAGTCAGTGTATGCTTAATTTCTAGTTTGTCCTTTTTCATATCCTCGAGGGTCACACTAAATTTATCAGTGGTTTCTAGAAAATTCTCAAAAAACCTTATCACCGTGGTTTTGAACTCTATATCCAGTCGTTTGCTTTCCTCCATTTCTGTCATTTGTGACCTGTTTCTCTGTCGCCGCATTTTGGCTGCTTCCCTGTGTTGATAGAGAGGCTTTGTGTGCTAGGTGTCCTATAGGGCCCAGTGGCTCAGCCTCCCCAATTACCTGAGGTGGACACCCTTGGTGCACCCCCTTGTGGGCTTTGTGCACAGTCTTGTTGTAGTTAAGCCTTGATTGTTGTAGGATCACTGGGAGGAATTGACCTCCAGGCCAATTGGCAGTGAGAATCAGCTGTGTCTGCAGTGGGAGAACTTCTGTGCTGAAGACACCCTTCTGGGGCAAGACTTGCTTCAGTGGGGCATTGGTGCTCACTCTTGCATTATATTTTTATGGATTTGGTCAATTCTTAAATCTTAAGAAGAATCACAGTGAGACACAGGAGATAACTTTTATTAATCATTGCTTTTTATGATTTATTAGCTTTTAATAGTTCCTACAAATATTTTCCAAATCCCAGCTTACAAATATGTTGCTACTTTCCAGTGAGAGTTTAAATCTCACACAATGTGATAAAACAGTTATGAAGAAACATCCAAATAAATAAAATAAAACTTTGAAAAGAGAAAAAATAGTATAAGTAAATACTTTAATATTCCTTTGCTAATTCATAGCTTACAGAAATCAAAGACTATTTCAGAGCATAATTATTAATTAAGTTAGATTCCCATATTAAAATATTGACCTAAACTATTTGCAGGTTAAAGCTTTATACAATTGCCTGTCGAACATGTTTACTAAGTAATGATAGGCTGGTTGAGGGTGCCATAAAACTTTATGAGTAGCTTGATATATACCTGAGCAGTTTTCCCTGATTATGACTTTGGCAGTGTTACCTAGCTCTGGTACAAACTAGCAAACAGAACAGGCTATGAAATAAGGTAAGTTTATGGGTAACAATTCTTTGTTATTTTCATGTTTCCAAGTAGTTATGTGTTCTCTTAGTTCATGTTAACAATCTTCCTGTTTATCTGCACTTCTTTAAAATATTAAAGATAACATATTTCCATTTGCCATTTTAAATATATAGCCCCTTGTACTAAAATAAGAGAGAAGATTTCTAGTTTTTTTTTTTTAAGAAGTAAGAATATTTTCTTTGCCCAGCTCTTCATTATACTTTTTGTCAGACTTAAGTGGATTTATAGCAGGTGTAGTTTAATTTCTTTATAGAGAAGAAAATAAGGATCAAAATATTTTGTAATATAGAAAATACTCTAAGTATGATTAAATATATTTTATGTAAAATATATATACACAGGCAGAGTAGGATGTATAATTATAAAACATTTGATCTTTTCTAGTAAATCTTGTAAAGATCAATCACCACATTACCATCTAATAATATATTGCTCATTTTGAAAATAATATACAGAGAAAGGACATAATTTCCCCAGAGTATATAATTTCCTCAAAAAAAGTTACTTAAAATTAGTGATTAAAAATAATATCACTGTAATTACCATCTACAACATATGAACAATTTTAATATTGATTGTTTATGAGTACTCACATAAGAATTTTAATTTTAGGGCATTAATTTTGTTCTCATTTTCTAAATACAAGAGGGTTTGCTTCATGACAAGAGGCATTTCTTTTATTTTCTTAATGAAAAAAAGCAGGGTTTTTTTGCCTTTTTTTTGCTTCTTGATAACAAAGTAGGATATTACTTTGAATGACACTTATATTACTTAAAGTTAAACATTAAATGCAACTGTGTCATTTCTCATATAACACTGAGCAATTGAGTTTCATTTTCTAAACAGCTTAAATATCACCTGTAAGGTTTAGTTTCTATTTAGTTTATCTGAATGTTACCGATGTAATAAACAGCTTATATATGTGTGAATTACAAAACGTTTAAATATCTGTTAGATCATAAAAATTGAGGTTGTACTTGCTCAATGTTAGGTTCAGAACTACTTTCATGATTCTTGCTATAAAAATACAATAATCCAATAGGGAAATTGACATATGTATAAATAATTGCAATAGATTTGGTGTCTGCCAAGGTAAAATGGAAAAAGTATACATTCACTCTGCCTCTAAGAGTAGGAAAGGACTCACTGAGGAAATGTCATTTGAACTGGAACTAACCTAGAAAAGCATATATGGAAGGATTGAAGAAAGATTAAATAGTATGCATTGCCCTTACAGGTTTGGCTCAGTGCATAGAGCGTCAGCTTGTAGACTGAAGGGTCCGGGGTTCGATTCTGGTCAAGGGCATGTACCTTGGTTGCAGGCACATCCCCAGTAGGGGGTGTGCAGGAGGCAGCTGATCGATGTTTCTCTCTCATTGATGTTTCTAACTCTCTATTCCTCTCCCTCTCTGTAAAAAAATCAACAATATATATATATATATATTTTTTTTTAAATTTTTTATTACAAAGGGTATTACATATGTGTCCATTTTTTCCTCCCTCCCTAGACAGTCCCCTAGCCTCCCCTATCCCCCAGTGTCTTATGTCCATTGGTTATCTCACTCATTCATGGATAAACAAAATATATTTTTTAAAAATAGCATGCACTAAGACATATTATCCAAAAAAGATGTTGTAGCTGTGGGCGTCATTCTGAAAATATTTTGGAAGTGGAATCAACAGGACTTGTAGAATGATTGACAGTGGTAGAAAGATATGGGTGAGGGTAAAGAAGCTTTAGGTTGAAACAACTTGGTATAGGAACTGACACAGATAGGTACAGGAGAAGGAACTAGTGTGAGAGGCCTCCCTCATAAAAGTTGATTTAAAAACTATTGAGTTAAGATTTACATAAAAATTATAGAATACAAAAACAGGAAGGCTAGAAAAGATGAGTAATGTCTAGTCAAAACAAAATTAAATAAACTTTAAGATAATTACTAAAATGAGTTCTTCCCAATCTATATTTAGATATCTTCTGTATGCTAACTCAAATGCATAATGTTATCTTAAAATTAATATAAATTATATACTGCACATATATATAATATATATGTATTTTATTTTTCATTTTTATACTTTTAGATATGTTATATTTATATTTTTTACATATTTATAATCTTTTCACAATATTGTTATAAAAACTATTGAAATTTGATAGACAATAGTTATAGTAGAAAGAACTACATTTTTTTACTTCGAAACTCTTAAGTAAAATGTGCAAACCAGTGTTTCTTTCATACACTGTATCCTAGTAAAAATTAAGGAACAGAGTACAAATTTAAGGGGTTTTAGACTTGAAAAATGTTCTAAAATGAGAGAGCAAGGCATACCTGCTGGAGATCTTTTTTAAAAAATGATTTCATCTTAGTATGCTACTAAATGCACATCCTGAATTCTCTCCTTTTACTTAAAACTGAATGTGTTGTTTACAGTTTTCCAATGTACAGTATTTTAGATTGTAAATTTATGGAACTCTTTCCAGCTCTGCTTGTGTTGTACTTAACTCAAAAAAATGTATATAATTTTATGATAATGATGGTGGCTTTTTGTAGCTATGTATTTTATATTTCAAACAAATATTTCTTTTTCTTTTTTTTTAGATGGCACGTAAAAAATTTAGTGGCTTAGAAATCACCCTGATTGTCCTCTTTATTATAGTTACCATAATAGCTATTGCCCTAGTTGCTGTTTTAGCAACCAGGACACCTGCTGTTGAAGGTAAGTAGTGTGCTGCTTGGGAAACAGCAAAGAGGCAAAGGGATCAGGTGTTAATGAAGGTGGAATAATTGTCTACCAGTGAGACTCTTCCAATTAGTGGGAAGACCTGGGTTTATACTCTGGTTTTCAGACACTTGCAAAGGGGGCTGGAAAATTTGGGGGAGTACCCTGTTTGTTTTAGACTCTGAAAAAAGAGACACAGAGAGAGAGGTTGCATGAGAAAAAAAGAAAGAGGCAAAGGAAAGAAGGCTTGAAATGTTTACCTTTTTTATGAATCATTCTATTCTAATTTAGAGTGGGTGAATACTACTCTGGTTGACCTAATCTACTTTCTCTTTTCATCATTCTATCTTGACCAAATCAAAACTGGAATGGATGTTAAGTTATCTTCAAAGTAACTGTAGTTAGCACTTTCTACTGCTCTTAGTCTTTTGTGTTATCTGTTTCCAGTAAACCAGAAGCTCACTACATTGTGAAGCAAACTTTAGCTTGCCCATACCTGATGGCTAGAAAGATCTTTATTATATAGACTAGAGGCCCAGTTCACAGAATTTGTGCATGGTTGGGATCCTAGCAGCTGCTGGTCGCCGGCTGGGTTCTCCATTACCCCGGCGGCCTGCTGCTGCTGGCCAGGGCCTCCCTTTACACCTGCCTTGGCCTGGTGCCACCTGCTCATCTGCTCCCCCATCCTGCCACGGTTCCACTCTCATTGGGGTCCTTCAGAGTCAGCAGCACTCCACTGCCGCCCGCGGCCAGCGCTGTGTCACCGAGGCCTGCCGTGTTCTGCGCCACCCCTTGGTGGTCAGTGCACATCCAACTCCTGCCTGTAGGGGCAATTTGCATATTAGCCTTTTATTATTTAGGATGTGGGATTTATTTTTCATTGCTGTTCCCTGGTTTCTCTTTTAATTACCTTCAAGTATCTTCTTTCTCCCACTTTTCTTTTTTCTTCTTTAATTTTTGTCTCCTCTACATTATTTTCCCATCCATGTTTCTTCATCTTCCTCCTTCATCTATACAAAACAAATTGCAAATATGGTGGGAATGTACATTTTGTTGTCTTTTAAATCTACTTCAAGACCTTCTGTGAATGTATTTTGTTTTTCTGAAGAAACAGTCAACAGGGCTCTACAAATCTATTTTTAAATATCATCTGGATCTTTTCCTTTTGAGGACTAAGATTTGAATTTGTGGGTTCTAATTTAATGCCAAGTTTGTTTTATTTTATTACATAAAAAATCATGTATTCTTTCAATGTAAAGCATTCACTACTTTAAAAAATGAAAAAGTAATATAATATCACATTTTATTTTATTGACCTCCCCTCCCACCCCCCAGGAAGTACTGGTTCTACTGTAACTCCAGCAACTACTCGTTCAACCACTGTGCATCCGGGGTCAGGAAAATGTCCAAGTGAGCAGTATGATCCTATCAATGAGAGAATAAACTGCATTCCAGATCAATTCCCAACAAAGGTCTGCAAATAAGACTTTACTATTTTTTATGAACAGATGTATTCAAATAACTATATTAAATATTGCTCAATATTGGTTCAATTCCTATATTTTTAAGACGTAGCCATCAATCAGGCTGCATTCACCTTTTTAATATAGTTCTGTATAAACAGATGAGAGATAATAGAAATACTTGAGCTTGCTTTTCTGTATCTCTATTCAATTCAAATTTAAAAGTTAACATTTTTATACTTAACGAGGTAGTGTTAATTTTATAAACTTTCCTAAAATTCTATCCTCTCAAATCAACTAATTAAAATAAAAACCTTTGGCAATATATAACACTTGAGAGAGAATATCTATTCTCAAATAGAGTACTTGTGATGGCGTTAAGAAGTGTGAATGGAAAATAAAGTAACATTGATTTTTAAATATTGTTAATTTTTTATTATTTGGTAATTTGGAAGAAGCTGAAATGGAGATAATTAAGGGTAGCTCAATGGATTCATATAACCTTAAGTTGACTCTTCTTTGGTCTTCATAACCTGTATGGGAATAAAGGTCAATGAGTGTATGTGTCTTTGTGTATTCACTTTTTTGAATATCTATATATTATAATGTATTATATCTATATAATATAAATATTATATATTAATCATAATATTATATACCATTATACAATATATTCAAATTATATTATATATTTTCCCATGATATGCCTACTACATAATATGCCTAATATATTGCATATCTCTATAATATACATATAGTATGCATATATATAATCTGTTATATCCACAACTTCTATACTAATAAAAGGGTAATATGCTAATTAAACCAAGAGACCTTCCAGGAGACCTTCTGGATGTCCTTCTGGACAAAGCCATGGTGGTGGGGCCAAGGCAGAGGTGGTTAGGGACAATCAGGCCCTAGGTGGGGGAGGGCAGTTGGGTGTGAGCAGGTCAGTGGGGGGGCCAGTTGGGGGTAAACAGGCTGGAAGGAGGGCAGTTGGGGGTGATCAGGCCAGAAGGGCGGGCAGTAGGGGGCAAGGAGGCCAGCAGTGGGGGACAGTTGGGGCAAGCATGCCAGATGGGAAGGCAGTTGGGGGCAAATAGGCTGGTGGGGATTTGGGGGGCAAACAGGCTAGAAGGGGGGGCAGTTGGGGGTGATCAGGCCAGAAGGGGGGGCAGGAGGGGGCAAGCAGGCTGGTGGGAGGGCATTTGGGGGCAAGCAGGTCAGATGGGAGGGCAGTTGGGGGCAAACAGGCTGGCAGGGGAGGCAGTGGGAGTGAGCAGGCTGTTAGGGGTTGGCAGTTGGGGGTGAGCAGGCCAGCAGGGGGTCAGTTGGGGGCTATCAGGCCAGAAGGGGAGCAGTTTGGGGTGATCAGGCCAGAGCGGGGAGCAGTTGGGGCCAGTCAGCCTGGAAGGGAAAGGCAGTAGGGGGTTATCAGCTTGGCATGCAGAGTGGTTAGGGGTGATCAGGCAGAGTGATTAGGGGCGATCAGGCAGGCAGTCAGGTGAGCAGTTAGGAGCCAGTAGTCCCGAATTATGAGAGGGATGTCTGACTGCTGGTTTAGGCCCAATCCCACAGGGATTCAGATATCCCCCAAGAGATCCCAGATTGGAGAGGGTGCAGGCCAGGCTGAGGGACACCCACCCCCCGTGTATGAATTTCGTGCACTGGGCCATTAGTCCTAAATAATGAAGAGCTAATATGCTAATTAGACCAAACAACAGAATGACTGTCCAGACAACCTTCCGGATGAAGCCGGGGCTGCGAGGGCCAAGGCAGCCAGGGCTATGAGGGCCAAGCCCCTCGCATTAATTTTGTGCATCAGGCCTCTAGTGTATCTGTAATATGCATATCTGAATCTCACACAATTTTCTAATTACTTTGCCATGAGAACTTGAAAATAAGTGAGATTTTTTATTCATAGGACAACTTTAGGAATAGTGGGTTCTATTCCTTAATAACTGAAAAAAATAGCTAAGTACCAGTGTTTAATGTGACACAGTGAGCAAATTGGACAGATATTCTTTTACGCTAATATTCTCCTTAGGAGATAATTGAAGCTTAACATACAATCCTGTTAGGAAAATTTGGATTATTAGGATCTTAAAGAGAAACAACATTTAAAAGCCATTTGTTTAAGGTTTATATGTCTACTATTAGTCTTTAATGCAATCTGTTAAGCTGCTAAAGAGTGTTTTCAATGTGACATGAATTAAACTTATTAATTTAACAATTTTTAGCTAATCTATTTTATATTTTCCATTTAAGAATAAAAGGTGAACTTTAAATGGTGTTTTAAGAAATAGCCTTAAAGCTACCCAGAATGCACTTAATAGCCAGCTATAATAAAATATCATCACTGACTGGATGGCTTAAACAATAGACATTTATTTTCTCACTATTCTGGAAGCTAGACGTCAAGATGCCATTATGGTTGGTTTCTGGTAAGAGTTTTGCTGGTTTTTAGGTAGCTGCATTCTTTTGTCTTCACCTGGACCTTTCTTCTGTGAATGGAGAGGGAGAAAGAGAGAGAGAGAGAGAGAGAGAGAGAGAGAGAGAGAGAGAGACTGACTCTTTCTTTTCTTAAGAGTTTACCAATCCTGTCATATGAGCCTCACTTAATGACCTCATTATTTAAACCTAATTACCTCCTTAAAGTGCTTATCTCCAAATAAGGTACCATTTAAGGTTAGAGCTTCCTACATGTGAAGTGTGGGGGACACAATTCAGTTCATAATACAGAGTCAACCCCGTATATATGATTACATATAATTCTCTATGGGTATTTATATACACATAAAATAAAATAAAAATAAGAACATAAATTTATTTTACATTTACCTACTAAAGTTTATGCCTATTGGTGAATATTTAATGTTTTAATTGTTTTGCCTTTTCAAATGAAGCAGAAAGAAAAGTGAAGTTAGAATAGGAATGATAAGTAATAGGAGAAAATATCTGAAATCCTGAAAAATAGGCAAATGATAAACATAAATAACAAGTATCAAAATTTATAAAAAATACCCCAAATTATTAATATATTAAGAGCATGAGGTGATATACACTTTTAAATTAATATTTTGTTGTATATATGTAGTGTGTTGAATATGTTGTACCCAGATTTATGTTTAAGTGGAACCTCAAATGTGACCTCCTTTGTAAATAGATCTTTGCATATGTACTTAGTTAAGTGAGGTCATGCTGGATGAGGGTGGGCCCTAATTCCAATGACTACTGTCCTTATAAGAGGAGGGCTGACACACACAGGACCACAGGGAAGAAGGCCATGTGAAGATGGAAGTAGAGATTACAATAATGTATCTTCAAACCAAGGAATGTCGAGGGTGGCCGAGAGCCAGAGGCTAGGAACAGACATAGAATTATTCCCTATGGCCTCAGAGGGAGCCTGGTTCTGCTAACACCTTGCATTAGGACTTCTAGGCTCCAAAACTCTGAGAGAATAAATTTCTCAAACTACCCTTTTCATGGGTGTCACACTGCTGTTGGAAACTCTTACAGTATGTCTTGAGGAACTTCATGTAACCCCATTTTACTAAATATTTTTTTTAATTTAGCAAGATATGATTATAATTTGCTTATTTATTGTCTCTTGTTTTAAAACTTTATACCTTTCTAAATAAGTATATGTATGTCTAATTTTACCTCTCATTTCACACAACATTTTCTTTCTTTTTTTTGTTTTTGAAGGGAAGGGAGGGGAGGGGACGGGAGGGGAGGCGAAGGAAGGTGGCGCTGAGTGAGCGAAGTTCTCCTCCTCTGGCAGGCCACCGGGAGCTCTCACACAACATTTTCAAAAAAAATTTTCTAAATAAGGACTACTGTAAGTGACAATTTTTATGCAATTATTTTTTTGTATTGCTGGGAGTATTTCTATAAGTTAGATAACTAGAGATAAAATCGCCTGATCAGCCCAGCCAGCGTGGCTCAGTGGTTGAGCATAGACCTATGAACGAGGAGGTCACGGTTCAATTCCCCATCAGTGCTTACTCTGGGCTGTGGGCCCAATCCCCAGTATGGGGAGTGCAGGAGGCAACCAATAAATGATTCTCTCTCATCATTGATGTTTCTATCTCTCTCTCCCTTTCTCTTCTCTGAAATAAAAATATATTTTTAAAACTGCCTGATCAAAAGCCACACACACTTGAGAGTACATGTATGTATGTATGTGTATATTTGTGGGTGTGTGCACACGTTTGTCAGATGCCGCTTTAATTTGATATTAATAGAAATAGGATAGAAAGTTACATGTATAACATCATATAGCTACTAAAGTGGGGGTTTTCAACTTTTTTCCAGACAAATAGCTAAGAAAATAAAAACCATAGGTGTTCAAGTTATGAGAGTATCACACTATAAAATTTAAATGTTAAATATATTTTAATTATACTGGTGTTAATACATAACATCACCATGTGGCCTTACTTTTTATATAACCGCATATAATTTTTCTCCTACTCCACATAATTTTCCCATATAGATAATAAAATTACTGAAAATACAGTATTTTGCTTTATACATTGACTATAATGGCAGCAACTAGTTGCCACACCTGGCACATACACTAGTTTAAATAGTTGAAGTAAACATTGAACTAACAGTTACTTGGAAATGAGAACCTTACATATATTATGTAGACTTGAATTCAGGGCCATATCTTCATCTTTGTGGAATCACTTGCCCACTCTGATACATTAGTAAACAAGAAATATTTTAGTTCTTCTGCAGTGACTGTAAGACAACAGAATGGATTGTAATTACCCAGAGGGCAGAAACCTTAGAATTTACAATCATGTGCACTGGTATGGAAATTAAACATATCTCAGGGCATCAATCTCTGATATGATGTAATCAATTCAATTGATAAAGTATTTATATTTCTTTCAAATGAGAGGAAGAAAAGAATAAGTGATATTTTAACATATATAAATAATCTTTTCAAAAAACGTTCATTTTAACATTTTTTGAGTGAATGAATGTTTAAGAAAATAAGAGATTGACACAAATGATAACAGTGCTAACCATATAATTCCTTTTATAAATGTTTTATCAGGCTACTTGTGAATTGCGAGGTTGCTGCTGGAGACCCTGGAATAATTCTGTTATACCTTGGTGTTTCTTCGCAAATAACCATGGCTATACTGCTGCGGGAATTAAAACAACAAATACTGGTGAGAATTGTTCTATCATGGTGATCCAATATCAAATATTTGAAGTGGAATAAAAAATATGTTTTAAATTTTTCTTTGGAAAATAAATAGAATCAAATGGAAAGTATGTATTCAAGAATGTCCAAAATGATTATATTAAGAATTTATTTTTTATAATTGTATCTTCTGTATAGAAAAAGAGATCAATATTTGTGATAAAATCAATGACATTGCAAATACAAGAAAACATGTAATAATTATTAATCTTTATAAATCAAGGCATGGCTCATACCAATTCTTTGTTTCTTTAAGGACTTGAAGCCCAATTAAACAGGATTCCTTCACCCACAGTATTTGGAAATGACATTAACGCTCTTGTCCTCACAACTCAGAGTCAGACATCCAATCGTTTCCGGTTTAAGGTTTGGTTTTTGGGATTTTTAAGTAAAAAGTTAATAATAAAAAGCGTGTTCTGAGCATACCATTCATTCTACCAAGACATTTGTTCCCTCAAAAAAAAATTTACTCCATAGCAGAAAACTAATTAGACTACTAGACTTCTCTGAGCCTGTGTACTCAAATGTAACATCAATAGTTCCTCAGGCAGTATTTTTGGAGACTTTAATAATGTAGTTATTGTAAAATACAGTGTCTTAAGAATAAAGCTCAATAAACTGTAGTAGTAATTTTTATTCCAACTACAGACTGTGACTAAGAATTAGTTTAAATTTTAATTTGAGAAAGGGGTTAATTGTGCTGTATAAATGTGACTTACACTCCCTAGTTCTTTTTATCAGTATCACTTGTCTTTGTGATTTTAAATAAACTAGTTTTTGTGTGGGTGTTTTAGCAGTAGTTTACTAGAATGGTCTTTTGGATTTGAAAACATTATATCCTGTGTATATTACCTTTTTAGCAAATTTTTCAAGGAATTAAGGCATTTTTTAAACAAAATTTAAAATCATTATGGGATTTATAAGGGGTAAATAATGAAAAGCAATAAGGATAATTAAATTCACAAAAACCTAGTATTCAAAAATCAATATTTTATAATACTATTATTAATATTTTATATCAGTCAATAAAAATCTTTATTTTATACACAGTACTTTTATAACCAAGTAATTCTATTTATTTCTTAACAACTTATACAATTTATTTTGTGCAAAGCTATTTAACAATGTTAAAATTAAGTTTATGGCTAGATTAATAACTCATTTATAAAATTATTAAATGTATTAATTTCTATTTGGAATTTGCATTTAATTCAGACCTGGAAAATTAAATAACAGTTTTTAATAAGATAATGCTAACTTGTTTAATTTTTTGTAGATCACTGATCCAAATAATAGAAGATATGAAGTTCCTCATCAGTTTGTAAAAGAATTTAGTGGAACTGCAGCTTCTGATACATTGTATGATGTGAGAGTTACAGAAAATCCATTCAGCATCAAAGTTATTAGAAAAAGCAACAATAACATTTTGTAAGTAATTGGAATTATCTTATTTTACATTTATACATGGTTAAATAACTACTCAATTTTATCCTATTTTAGAAATAGGAAAATCTTAATTTTATTGTGTTTTTTTAAATATATTTTTATTGATTACAGAGAGGAAGGGAGAGGGAGAGAGAGAGAGAAACATCAATGATGAGAGAGAATCATTGATAGACTGCCCCCTGCAGGCCCCCTACTGGTAACTGAGCCCGCAACCCATGCAAGTGCTCTTGACGGGAATCAAACCCAGGACCCTTCAGTCCCGAGGCTGACGCTCTGTCCACTGAGCCAAACCGGCTAGACTAGGGCAATCTTAATTTTAAAACATTTTCAGAAAGAATAGCTTTCCTTCCAAAAGAGGGTGGTGTACATCTTTTTTTAAAGATATATTTATACAGGAATTTTATTTTCTGTGGATGAAAATTACAAGGACAGGCCAACCAAAGTTGAAGGTGGAGAGCATCAGTGATAAGTGTTTGCCTTGCCTAGGTTTTCACAGACCTAAAACCCCTATCGTGTCCTTTCCCTATTATTTACCTTAAGTCTGTTGTCAATTTATAGGATCAACTAGCTACTATTCAGAGGGAGGCTAATTTTTATAGTAATGCTAAAGGTCTTTTCTTATTTATAGATATTCAATTAAATATAGCATTGAATGCCTTCATTATGAATGTAGTGTGAGGAATATTTGAGAAGGAACTTAGTAATTTTTCAGATAAATTCTTTTGCATCTCCAGGAAAGGTTAATTAAGCGGCCAGGATCAAGTCTCCACAATTGCCTCTCTTAAATATATTTTTATAATTCGCAATTACCTTTATGTTAAATCACAAAAATATTAAATGTTATTTCACATCTCACAGTATATATTTGATATGCATAAAATATAAAACCTTTTTTACTTTTTAAAGAATGATTGTGAACTCACTTTTAGCGTATATGTCAGAGGAGGGAAGCCTGCCGCTGGAACAAGGCAGAACGGGATTTGAAATCTGGCTGTCCTGTCTACGAGGTTGTCACCTTAGAAAAAAATGAATTCACTTTCCCAATTCTGTCATTGGTGAAATGGGGTTCATAAAGGTAGTTGTGCTTTAAGATTGTGATGAAAGGAGAGAATGCATGTGAAGGAATATATTGGTGATGATGAATTAAATTGCGTTGATGGAATTAACAAGTTCTGCTTATGGTATAATTTATGTGTTCTTAAGAAGTGACCAAGGCTAACATGTGACATATTTAAAATGAAGCATTCTGGAAAATAACACAGACCTAGATCCAATAGAGTATATATTTTATAATTCTAGATCATTTATTTTCTTCTTTCATGGTACAGGTTTGACACCAGCATTGGTCCCTTGGTATATTCTGACCAGTATCTACAGATCTCAACCAAGGTTCCCAGTGAATATATTTATGGTTTTGGGGAACATATTCATAAGAGATTTCGTCATGATTTGTATTGGAAAACATGGCCCATTTTTACCCGAGATCAACTTCCTGGTGATGTAAGGAACTATCTTTCTTATTATAAATAAAATCTCTATATTGAAGCTGATATACTTTAAGCCTATTTGAAATCCTCTAGTGTTACATATTCCAGAAGATTATTTATTGTAAGGGCAAGAATTGATAACAAAGTCCTATATTATATCAATAAGTGACCAACAGATTTTATGCATGTTTAAATAGGTATTTCCAGTTTATGAATGTTTTCTTTTGATTTTTATATTTTATCATTTACTTTTTGGTCATTCTTGTACTTAAATCTATCATTGTACTAAAATAATTCTAAACTCTTAGCATGTTATGCATGGTTTTGTGTGATATAATGTCTGCCTATCTATTGGAGATCATATTGGGCATTTATGCATACTTCTTTCTCTTCCATAACATATTATAACCTTCTATAAGTTCACACATTTGCACAAGGAGTTGGTTCTCTTTTTAAATACTGAAACCTGAAATTCTTTATCATGTATTCAATGTCATTGAGGGCTCATTTAGAGTTTTACCTCATAGCAATTTCTCCCAAACTCTTTTATACAGAATTAATATTTACTTTCTAAACCTTTATTCATATTTTAGTATAACAATCATCACAGTGTATTATTTGTGCATATATGTGAATATACTTCCAGAATATGAGATTCTTCAGGACAAAGACCACATCATTTTTTTTATTAATTTATGATTTTTGAGTAAAATTATAGCAACTTTAAAAAAATGTTTTTATTTATTTTTTAAAGAGAGAGAAAGAGGGAAGGAGAGAGAGAAACATCAGTGATGAGAGAAACATTATTGATTGACTGTCTCCTGCATGCCCCCCACAGGGGATCAAGCCCACAACCTGAACATGTGCCCCAACCGGGAATTGAACTGTGATCTCCTGGTTCATAGATTGATACTCAATCCCTTGGCCACACCAGCCAGGCAAATTTTAGCAACTCTTTAAATGCCAACACTAGCTATTTTATTTCTAAAAAAATGTATAAGTAAATTTGTTTTTAAAAAAACCTCACTGAGTACAAGATGACTAACAAGTTTTACCAATCCTTGTTTATAGTATCAGATCTGTAATAAACACCAGGCTGATGACCTCATAGCTATTTTAAATGCAATTCTTTCCTTTTAGCCTCCATATCCAATCAGTCAAGAACTCTTATTTCTCTCACCTCATAAGTGTATTTCCGACTTGCCTCCTAGGAGCCATTTCATCTACTCATCAGCTCTCAATAAATGCACTGCAAAAGTTCTATGAGAGTGGACATAATTCGGGAATTCTCTGCAGTTCCTTGGGTATATATGAACATAGTGGTTAAATATGTCAATATCTTAACATGAGTAGCTTATTAAAACTCATTTAATCATAATAAAACATAAAGGAAAGTTAAATAATTTCTTACTAGTACAAATCATATATTATGTTACATATTTTATCTTCATATGTTAATAATTAAAATCATTTTGATGTTTTTGTGCTGCATAGTTACACATGGCACATACACTGTAGGAGGAAAGATTAGCATAGAGCTAAGAGGGATGAATAACAGAAACAAAGTGGAATTTGTAAAAGCCATTTTAAATATATAAACTTTTTGTGTTAAATAGACTTAAAATTTAATTTTAACATTTTGTCTTATAGAATAATAATAATTTATATGGCCATCAAACATTCTTCACGTGCATTGAAGATACTTCTGGAAAGTCATTTGGTGTTTTCTTGATGAACAGCAATGCGATGGGTAAGAGTAATTTATCTGATGATATATTTAAATGAGATTTAACTTGAAATATTTGAGCAACTCTCCTTATTCCAATAATAGATGCTATCTGAGAGTAAACTCTATTGTTAGTGATGTAGTCTGCAAAATTATAAGTAGGTTTTGTAGTGAGTGAGACACTGAATTTTTGCATGCCAGTACTCTATTTGGAAAAAAATGCTACATTGTGATATTCAGGATTTTTCCTTCAGAACAACATTGAAACACACCCATGAAAATGAATATTCCCATTTCCATAGCCTCGTTTGTTAAGATAAGTTAGCATACAAATAAAAAAGAGAAAGGTTGAGATGGGGAGAGAAAGAAGAGGTAGTATTTTATTAGTTTATCATAATTCAAGTAATGTAAAATCTTTTTTTAATGTTATGAGTGCAATACCCATATTTAACAGGTAAACTGATGATAATAAAAAGCCAAAAAATTAATAATTCAGCAAGAACAGTAATATTAGATGGTAATCCAGGGATTATTGTTTTACATATAGAACCATCAAATTTTACATGTTTTTCTTAGAAATAACTACTTGAAATGCAATTTCAGAAAGCAATATTTATGTTGCAAAAGGACTGGTTTTCTATTCCTTGCTATGTGATTTCTATGGGAGCTTTTGCCAGTATCTTTACAAGGAAACATCTGGGATATCCTATCATAAACCTCATACGTGGTGGCGTTTTACTTTTTCCATGTATTCATCCTATTTTCAATATCTTATTGCCTCATAATTATTTAAAAACAGCTTAAAATTATGTACTTAATAGACAACACTTTAAATAGATACTATAATTATTTTATCACTCTTTATCTTTTTACTATTGACATACGATATGCTTTCTCAATGTTTATGTTGCAGAGATTTTCATCCAGCCTACTCCTATCATAACTTACAGAATTATTGGCGGCATTCTGGACTTTTACATCTTTCTAGGTGATACACCAGAACAAGTGGTGCAACAGTATCAAGAGGTGTGTTTCAGGTTTATATTATAAGATATTTTTAACATATATAACTTGCCTACATATTTAAATGACTTTATTTAAGGTATCTGGAGCCTGAAATCTAGCTGTATGTCTAAATCTTACCATTTCTCAGTTATGTTAGGTGGTTTTTATTTTTGGTTTTGTTTTCTGTACTGTGAAGCCTCTGTATATTTAAATCTCTATCTATCTGACATATAATTGTGTATTACTTCTAGGCATTTGAGTTCAGGAGTTGAATTTCTTTTTTTTTAATTTTTTTAAAATATATTTTATTGATTTTTTACAGAGAGGAAGGGAGAGAGATAGAGAGTTAGATCGATCAACTGCCTCCTACACACCCCGCACTGGGGATGTGCCTGCAACCAAGGTACATGTCCTCGACCGGAATCGAACCTGAGACCCTTGAGTCCACAGGCCGACGCTCTATCCACTGAGCCAAACCAGTCAAGGCAGGAGTTGAATTTCTTTATGAGGAAGTATCTTCAAGCCTCAGGATAGGCAATGAATATATAGGTTATACAACTCTATGGTAAAAATCCTAGAGGCAACTGAATTATGAGGAAGGCTAGTGAAACTTACTTTTAATGCATAGTAGGTAAACTCTCAGAAAATTGGCTCTGACACTCAGGTTTAATAGAAGCGAGCACAGGTTTTGAAACACACTCTGAAGTCTTATGTTTTAAGGTTACCGTCTAAGCAACTCTCACTTACCTATTAAGTAACATCCTGGCGTAACTGAGTCGAAATGGGCCTTGGGGAGGTGAGAAATCAGGGCATTCCTTGAGCCTGATTTTGAGTTTCTTCCTTAGAATCGTTATCCTGTGGCATATATACTTCCTGATGTTATCATAGAAAAATAAAACATTTTTATTGGTATCAGATGTATGGATCATGCTTATTTTTAAAATCTTGTTATATTGATTCCTAGCCAAATAGTTCACTTGGTTAGAATGTTGTCCTGATACATCAAGGTTGTGAGTTTGATTTCTAGTCAAGCACATACAGAATCAACCAATGAATGTATCAATGAGTGAAATAACAAATCTCTCTCTCTCTCTCTCTCTCTCTCTCTCTCTCTCTCTCTCTCTCTCTCTCTTTTTCTCTCCCCCTTTCTCCCATCCAATCTCTATCTAAAAGCAATCAATGAAATGAAATATTGATTTATTAATTATATTTTGACAAGAAATTCCCATTTCCTAAGATAATCTCAAAGAAGAAATTATTGCTATAAAAAACAGTCTTTAATTAGTATCCAAAAGCCTAAAATGAGAGTAGCTAGGATGATACACGCTTGAATAATTAAAATGTCCAATAATTCCCAAATTGCTGTTTATAAGAGTAAATTTCAGAAAAGAACGCAAAGTTACAGCTCTATTATATGAAATCATAATTACAGTGATAGGCTGGCCTGTATACAGACTTTGTGCATGGTTACCACACCATCCAAACAAGAGACAGCACATTTTTAAAAGGAATTTGACATTTTGTTTTTGAAATACTGATTGGGAGAGTTGTCACGTGTTGAGCAAAGCAGCAATTGAGACTGAGTCATGCTTGGCATGTGAATGCACTGTACATACAGCAGTACACTTGCTTACATCATTTTATGGGTCGAGTTGCAAAGGCTTGAATGTAAGCACCACCATGAAACACAGCACTACTAATCACTGCTGCATTTAAAAGAGGCTCAAATTATGTGGAGAGTAGACAAAAGAAATGTTGTTTCTTGTTTGAAGGAAAACTAACTGTCCTTTTTGTACAAGCTGACCAAATTATTGGGTTCAATATGTTAAAATTTAAAACATAATTTACTTGACTATCCAGATAGTTTTATGTTTTAAAGAAAATGTATATACATATGAAATGAATATCTAACTAATCACACACACATAAAGACATTTCAATCCCATGTCCAAACTTTTAAAGAAATTTTGTGGAACATTAAGATGAATAGGGTTTAAAATACTGAGTTTCTGAGAGTTTTATTTGATTAACTACAGGCCCAGTGCATAGATCCATGCACTGGTGGGGTCCCTCAGCCTGGCCTAGGCCTCTTGCAATTTGGGATCCTCCGGGAATGTCGGCTGGCCTGTGGGGATTGGGCCGAAACCGGCAGTCTGACATCTCCCGAGGGATGTAGTAGTGCACGAAGCAGCTGGAGGCCGGGGAGGAGGCCGAGCCCAGTCCAGGCGCTGCACCGCTCCTACTCATCCCAGCCTGCTGCACTTGCCACCGCTGCAGCTCTGCAGTGCTGCTGCAGACGCAGGAGAGGCTCGTGCTGCTGCAGAGGCTGCTTTTGCCAGCTGTGAGCCCTTTGTCTGGTGCCCCTTGATCAGCTGAGTGGCGCTCCCGCTATGGGAGTGCACTGGCAACCAGGAGGAAGCTCCTGTTTTGAGTGTCTGCCCCCTGGTGGTCAGGGTGCGTCACAGCCACTGGTCATGCAGTTGCTTAGGCTTTTATGTATATAGACTAGAGGCCTGGTGCACAAAATTCTTGAATGGGGTCGGGGAGGTCCCTCAGCCAGGCCTGCACCTTCTTGCAATCCGGGACCACTGGGTTCTAATTGTTTGCCTGCCTGATCACCTCTAACCACTCTGCCTGCCTGCCTGATTGCCCCTAACCACTCTGCCTGCCTGCCTGATCACCCTTACCTGATCACCTGCCTGCCTGATTGCCCCTAACTTGTCACCTGCCTGCCTGACCACCCCTAACCACCTCTGCCTTGGCCCCCGCCACCGCAGTTTCATCCAGAAGGACATCCAGAAGGATGTCTGGAAGGTCGTTTGGCTGTCTGGTCTAATTAGCATATTATGCTTTTATTATTATAGATTATTATAAAAATAAATTTAATTCTTCATTGAATGCATAGCCCAATTTTTGAATTTAGAAATTTTACATAGTAGCATTTAGACATGTATAATGGATAAATCATTTATAATGCAAATATATATATATATTCCATGATATATATGTATACACACACACACACAAACCAAAACCAAAGAATATTCATTATTTCAAATAAGATTATTTGTCTTAATATAACCTAATAGTTTTAGTGAAAAAGACATAATATGAGTTACGCCCATATTTTCACTTGCAAATCATGTTCTGTGTTATTGTGATTAAGACACTGACAGTCCGTTGTGGACATACAATGAACCTGCTTGGGCCACCAAGGCAGTGGAAGGAGTGTGTCCATTTGGCCTTTTTGGAGAGAAGCCAAGGCCCACATGTGAATGAGATAAACACCTTATAAGATAACTGAGTGGAGGCCCGTATAACATATGTTTTATTAATATATTTGGAAACTAGGAGAGAAATAAGTGCCAAAATGTAAGGAAATAGAAAGTGTGTACTTTTAAACATCTTTTTTTTTCTACCATGATGAATATTCATGTATTGAATCATTCAGTCATTTTGTTGCTAAAGGAAGTGAGAGTGTGATTGGACAGTTTACTTTTTCTCATATCTCTTTGATGCTATTAATGTATTCTCCTCTTTTATTTTACATGCTGAGCAAAATATATCTTTGCAAGTGTTATTTTAAGTACTAAATTTCTAATCTTCCAACACAAAATGAACAGAATAGTTACAAAGCCATTTTTAAGTGTTTCAGAACAGAATTATAATAGAATACCTAAGACACATTTGAAAATATAAATACTTGTTTAAAATATGTAATTAAACTTAAATGAATGCTAGAGATATAATAGAGTAATAAGCATATTAATATTAGATTCTAATACTCTTTATTGGAACTAATTAAATGTCTAATTACTTTAAGCTCATTGGGCGACCGGCAATGCCAGCATATTGGAGCCTTGGTTTCCAGCTGAGTAAATGGAATTATACATCACTTGATGTAGTGAAAGAAGTGGTAAAAAGAAATCGGGAAGCTGGCATACCATTTGTAAGTGGGATAAAGGGTTGGGGAATGTATACCACATTAAATAGTGTCACATAATCATAAAAGTAGGAATTAGTCAGGATAATTATATAGATGCATATGGATTATTAAGTTGCCTTTTAATGATAAAGTACATTTTATTACCATAGATAATGCCCAGTCCTATGTGAAATTTTGAGATGTGGTAATAAAAAATACTATAACAAAATACACGTTTAACTGTGGACAAAATCATATTTAGTGTTTTAGTAGGCTTTATTTCTTAAAGTTTATATACTTTTTAATATAATAGTTTATGTAATGTGTAGGGTTTTTATACAATTAATCACATTATATAATGCATATTTAGTTATCACTGAGACAAATGTGAATAATCATAATGCTTTTGTAATCTAGAATTAGAAATATGTATTTTATATATAAATACCATTACATCATTAGTGAAGTAAAAGGGACCTATGTTCATTTACTTTTTAAGTTTTTTGGACTTAAAAATTGAAGTATGGTACAGTTATTTCAGGTCTACTTATTGATACATACTCTGCTAATCTTTAGGACACACAGGTCACTGATATTGACTATATGGAAGACAAGAAAGACTTCACTTATGATAAAGTTGCATATAAAGGGCTCCCTGAATTTGTTCAAGATTTGCATGATCATGGACAGAAATATGTCATCATTTTGGTAATGACTATTTATCAATACAATTTTACTATTTACACTCTAATCAGTTAATAGAGTTTCTACCATTTCTTTTTTTCTATTACTGTATCTGTTATGCACCACTGAATCAGCTCTGACTTCTGACAGCCCTATGAATGAGTGATGTCCACACAGTCCTTTCGTCAACAGCCCTGCTCAGCCCTGCAGCGCACGCCTAGCACATGCTTTTGGCTCCTTTTCTGGAGTCAATCTCTGTCATAATCGCTCTTCCTCTTTTCTTGCTGCCTCCTGTTTTTCCCAGCAGTATTGTCTTTCCAGAAGAACCCTGCCTTCTCATGAGGTGATGGTGGGTGGACAGCTTCAGTTTTGTCATGGTTGCCATCAGTGACATTTCGGGCTTAATTTGCCCTAGGGTCCACTTGTTTGTGTTTATGGTGACCCAGCCTATCCATAGAGCTCTCTCCCAATGCCATGTTTCAAATGAATCCTCCTTTTCCTGTCCTTCTTCTTCCCTGTGCATAGTAATTGGGAAAATGAGGGTGTAGATGATTTTAGCCTTGGTGTCCAAAGACACATTTTGGCCCTTGGTGATCTTTGCTACTTCTTCTGTTATTAGGACCCCGGAATCGCCATCAGTAAGCGTGCGGATGGATCAAAGTATGCCACCTATGAGAGGGGAAATGAACAGAAAGTTTGGGTAAATGACTCAGATGGGACTACAACTATTATCGGAGAGGTAAATTATAATAATTATTAAAGTCGTGTTGGTCAGATTTTCTATTGTGCAGTGACAAAGGTTTTGTGTGTGTACACATGTGTGTGTATTCACTTTCAAGTCTAGATTTAATATTTTAATTGTGTAGAGGTATTTTAGACAGAGTAAATATTCCAATCATCTCTAAAACTAAAGAGATGATTATAAGACTGATAATTTTTAGTGCTATACAAAATGAAAACTAACGATAAAAATAAGATAATGTATATTACAAAATTCTGATAACTATGTAAAATGCATACATAAATTGAGTACTTAACAGGTGTGTATTGTTTTATAGTTTATATTTAACCCTCACAATAAAATGAGATGGTTATGATTAGAATTCTTAATTTATAGGCAAAAACATGAATTTGAGAGAAGTGAAGTAACTTTTCTAATATCACAGAGCAATTAAGAGCAGAGTCAGGAAACTGCCTAGCTTCAAACTGCAAAATTTTAACAAGGATAAATATTCTTTTGGAGACAACTTCATAAGACATATCAAAACCCATAATATCTAGGTGTATTGACTTGGTAATTCCACTTCCATAATTTAACCAAAAGAATAAAACAAGATCAATTGTGAAATTATAAAAAAGCATATTTATTATCACATTATTTAAAATACCAAAGAGTATCTTAGCCATCGCTTTTTATCTCACTTATCAAAGTGGAAATTTCTGTTACAAGTCTACTTTAATTAATTCTTCACTCCACCAGAAAGCAAAATTGAACTTCCTCCCTATAAAAGAAGGCATATATAAGTTGAGTACTTATATATTGTGTACTAAGTTTTATGGCTTACATTTAATCTTCACAAAATAATGAGGTAGCCATGATTAAACTTCATAATTTATAGGTGAAAAAATGAATTTGAGGGAGGTGAATTTTCTACTTACAAAGCCTATTAATAAGTCACATAATACATTTTGTTAAGACCTGTTCTGTTGGATATGCACAGATCACATAACCCATACGCATAGTTTACATATAAAACAATATTATCCATCCCAATTTATTTGAAATTTAATTAATCTAGCCCAACATCATTATTTTAAGTAATAAGTATAATAATTCAAAGAAACACCAATCATAAAAAGCAATATAGTAAATGTAGAGTTTAATACCACAGACTTTGACATTAGCGTGCCTGGGTTTGAAGTTCTCTGCCACTTATTAGTGATATGACCATGAACAACTTATTTAACTTATCTGTTCACCACTTCTCTTGTCTATAAAATGGGTTTAATTATAGAACCTACTTCATCTGTAAAATGATGATAAAAATAGTACCTGTGCCCCAAATAAAATGCTTAAACCATTGCCCAGCACATAAGTGTCATATATGCATTTGTTAAATTGAATATATATATATAAAAGTTGCTTTTAGACTTAATAATATACTTTATTTTATCAGACAATGAATATATTATATGATTTTTATTTTTTAACCTAACCTACTAGGATGCTAAGAATTAAATTAAGCTGCAGTCAAAATAGCCTCATCCATCCCATTTTCTTCTATTTTTCTCTTTATCAGTGCTTCTCACTCTTTCTTTTTTTAAATTTACTTTCTGTTAAATGCATTTGAAAGTAGGCCTGAGATTATTGTAAATATAGATTGGGCATGGGTTACAACATTATGACTAATAATTCTTGTGCTCAATTATTTTGAATTCTCATTTATTTATTTAAAAAATGTATGTATATATGTAAATGGTCTATCCTTCTAGGTATGGCCAGGATTATCAGTATACCCTGATTTCACTAATCCAAGCTGCATAGAGTGGTGGGCAAATGAATGCAGCACTTTCCATCAAGAAGTGAAATATGATGGACTTTGGATTGTAAGTAACTATTTTAAGCCAGTGATTTTGGACAAAAAATGTAATTCTTTTTCTATTATATTATTATCAAGTTGACAAGATATATTTTATACTGTATGAACATAAAATTAAAAGTTCTTTCAATATTTTTTAGAATGTATAAGTACTAAACCTGTTGTGCTCATGAGTTAGATAAGAATAAAAACTAAAAGCTGAAAAAAGAGATTTTGTTAATCTTTAGTAATACACTTTATAGAATACATTTCATTTCTGTTACTGAGGTGTTGGATCTTTATGACCAATAACTTATTGTTGAAAAAACAGTTTACAAGATTTGAGAGTAATCCAATATTAGTACAACTCCAAAAAATATGTATTAGGTCTACAGTAGTCAGCAATTGCAGTAATATGAACCTATATAAGCCCTTACCCTTTAAAAACATTTTTTAGTAAGTTATAGAATAGAACAAGTCAAAATTGGCTATAGATTAAGTGTTTTACCTCAATATAAACAACAATAATAAACAAAATCATAGATATCTGATTTTAATGTAATATTTATTACATAAAAACACAAACCTTTAAAAGTTTCCTTGGATGAAGTTTTCTATCTGTAGATATTGATAGCCTGCTGCTAGGTTTGTTATATAGAATAATACTGTATGATAGTAAATGATTTAGTATTTTTGGTTGTGGAAATTATAGCTGCATTTGGGGACGAAACTATTTGGTGAGCCTAAAAATCTATATTTCAGGAAAAAAATTATAATAAATCTGAACATAGAAAAAACATCAGGGATTTTGTTCAAAGATATTGCAATAGTGCAGAATTTTGGAAGGAGAGACAAAGCGATTCCTTGGGATAGCTATCTTTGGCTGTTTAGGTCCATAATATTTCTATTTCCTTAAAGTCTTTAATGCTCATTCAGTCATTATTTTAGTTAATCATATATTTATTAATTCAAACAATTTGTTAGATAACAAATCTTTATCTTGCACCATGAATATATCAGGTATTTTGTGGGTCATATAAAGATAGCAAAACTATGTTTTCTGCTGACAACATGAAATTGAGTAAAAGTTAAACATAATCATCAGGATTTCCATGATAGAAATAGAATGAGATGGAGAGGCTTTAGTTATTAGACAAAAAGTCTGTGAGATCATGATGATAATACCTAGCTGCTGGTAGAAATAGCAACAAAAATGCATCTGCTCTTGTGTCTTGTTTTCAATTCTAGCACCAATTTCAATTGTATTATTTAATTTAAATGGAAAATTTTTTCATTCCCTTTTCTCACTTGCTTAGGAAACAATTTGAGTTTACTAGAATGGAGTTAGAATATAAATGGCACTTTAAGAATAGTGAGAGAGAAGATGGCTGTACCATGGAAAGAGAGAATACTCCATTTCCTACAACCTTTCAAGACTGAAATACCTGATACAGCTCCAAAGAAACAGGAAATGGGATGAGGAAGAGCATCTGAGAAAGGCAGAGTCTTTCTGATGCTAACATAGAAGCATTTTGACTAATGCTTAAAATATAACAACATAACATAATAATTAAAATGATTTCAAACCTCACTAAATATCACTGAATTAATTATACTATGTATAAAGAGTGGCAAGTTCTTACTGGAATGATTGCCAAATCCTACTACTAAGTTGTTGTTTTTTATAATTTTTTAATTTTCTTCACATTATTTTTTTCTGTTAGAATGAATATACAGTAAAAATAACTATCATTTAACTGACTTTAAGTCACATTTTAAAATAGTTTTGTAATTTGCTAGATATATAATTTAGATACCATCCTAATTTTTTAAACTATAAGTTTAAATATTGAAATCACTTTGAAAAATTATGTGAGCTAAATTGTCATAGAAAAAAATTGAACATAAGAGTTCAAGAAATTTAATAAAATAACTCCAATATATATTTTAGAATAACTACATAACTTTCCCTCTTTGTTGTTAAGAAAAATATTTGGAGAAAAGAAAACATTTACTTTTAAAAATCTGATTCACAATGATAAATGTATTCTTTTCAGTACCCTTAATTTTTCACATTAATTACATGTGGGTATGATATAGATGGGAGAAGGGAAGAGTAACAAAGCAAACATACTTCTGAGGAAAGCAAAATTAGACACTTGATTAAGCGAGATGCCTCTTTAAGAGTAGAGACAAGAGATGTGGGGAATGAGGCTCAAATAGGTACAAGGTGGGGCAAAAATAGGTTTACAGTTGTTCATATGGAAAATAATGCAATAATTAACAAATAATAATATAATAAAATACCCTGTGTTTTGCATACTCACAACTATAACCCTACTTTGTCTCAATCTGTATAGAAGTACTTCAATGCAATTAACAGAGAAGGAAAAAGAAATATGTATTTCTTTTTATTTATTCATGTATTCAATTTTTATTGATTAAGGTATTACATATGTGTCCTTTTCCCTCCATCGCTCCCCACCCACCCCCACTCATGCCCTCACCCCCCTGGTGCCTGTGTCCATTGTTTAGGCTTATATGCATGCATACAAGTCCTTTGGCTGATCTCTCCCCCTTACCCCCAACTCTCCCCTGCCTTCTCTCTGAGATTTGATGGTCTGATCGATGCTTCTCTGTCTCTGGATCTGTTTTGTTCATGAGTTTATGTTGTCCATTACATTCCACAAATGAGTGAGATCATGCAATATTTATCTTTCTCTGACTGGCTTGTATTTCTTGAACATGTGTAGTGTGGTGTATGATTAAAATCTCTTATGCTTTTGTTTGTTTTGTTAATCCACAACCCAGGATATTCTTCCATTGATTTTTAGGGAGTAGAAGGGAGAGGGAGAGACAGAGACACCGATGTGAGACACATCAATTGGTTGCCTCCCGTATGTGTCCTGACCAGGGCTGGGGATTGAGCCTGCAATCGGACCAGGGACCTTCAGTCCACAGGCCAACGCTCTAACCACTGATCAAAACTAGATAGGGCTCTCTTATCTTTTTTTTAGTCCAAAGACTTTACTTAACTGATTATGGTAAAAACAAACAAATAAAAACAAAACAAAACAAAAACCCTAGTAAGTAGCAAGATAAGTTTAGGGCCTAGGTTTCCATGGCAAGAGAATCAGTAAACACAGTACCTCACAGCCCTGTTTCCAAGATATGTTTAGGGCACTGGTTCTCATAATGTGGTCTCCTAGCCCCAGGGTCCCCAGACACCCTTCCAGGGACTCAGTAAGGTCCGAAACCTCTTTTATTAGCGTACTAAAATGCTATTTGCCATTGTTCGCTTTTATTCTCTCATGGGAGCATAGAAGTTGTGGCCAAAGCATGTCCTGCCTGGTTGCTAGCAATGCCCATCCTAAGAACTAGATAAATGCCAGCTGAAATGAACAAGCTATGTTAAATAAAGAAATGTACTAAAAATGTGTACAATGATAGACTCACAGTGAAAAGAGTGATACAATTATTTAGAAAAGGCAGTTGCTTAGTACTTGTAATTAATACTTTATATGTAAAATTAACACTAGGGAAATGAACTACATTTTGATCATATACAATTCCTCAATCAAAGATACCTCTGCTATTTGTTATCTACATTCACACAAAAGCAAATGGTATTATTTTTCTCAGTATAATGACTTGTTCAGACACAAGGTAGAACCAAGTAGTGAGTATAGATAAGCAAATTTGTCTTTAGCTTGGAAGCTTATAGTTATCTCCATAAAGCAAAACAATGTGTTTGCCTTAGGTTTAAAAAAATTGCAAATAACTTAGGTTTATATGATTTATTATTACTTCAAGTCTGCTGTTCCTCAATTTATATCCATTTAGGACATGAATGAAGTTTCCAGCTTTGTTCAAGGTTCAACAAAAGGATGCAATGACAACAAATGGAATTATCCACCTTTTACTCCTGGTAAATTTCATTTGGTTATCTACTTAGCATTAACTGTCAACTGGTAAATTCTAGCATATATATTCCTAAATATTCCTAAATGGCAAAGTTTGGTAAAATTTTGAGACCCTGAAATCGATATTTTTGTTTTTGTTTTACTTTTGGCCAAAATATGTATGCCTAAATAAAAGAGAATGATTTTAAATTTTGATATAGGATGTTGATTTATTTTTATTTGCTGGTGATTAAGTAATTAATACAAAGAAAAAAAAATTGCTTTAAATCATAATTGAAGTAACTGATTTTTTTTCATGAGCACTTTACAATAAGTCTGTGCAGTTATCAGAATGTGTTTGATGAGAATATTTACATCTCACATATTCTAAAAACTTTTTTTATCATTTAATTTGGGTAAAATAAATAACCAAAGAAAAAAAATGTGCTCTTAATGGAATAATTTGCTACAAGGAATGAAGAAAGATGACAATAATTATTGCAACATCATATATGCCAGCAAATTAAAGTACAATAAAAAAAACAAAAATTTGAATGGTTTGTAATTGTGTGACAAGTCTACATGTATAGAATTAGATCATATTTAAGTTATCGATTATACTATAAAGCTTTCAAATGGATCTATAGATATTTGATATACAATTTAAATGTGTATATTTCTATACATATACGTTAAAGGTTATTTTTCCCTTGAATTTATTTACTATTGTAGTTAGGAAGCAGAGTGTTAGTGAAAGTGCAAATTTAATGTTTAATCAATAGGAGTGGAATGTGGAGACCTAGTTGGAAATTAAATTCTCATTTTTATTATTTTTTAAATGAATATGGCATTACGTATCATTTAAGAATTATAAAGATTAAAATATACCTTAAGAGCAAAAATATCTTATTATAGAATTTAAAAATAGCAAAGAATTTGTAGAAAATGTTCCTTATATGTTTTCTCCTAGATATTCTTGACAAACTCATGTATTCCAAAACAATTTGCATGGATGCTGTGCAGACCTGGGGAAAACAGTATGATGTTCACAGCCTCTATGGATACAGCATGTCTATAGCTACAGAGAAGTAAGTGCAGTTCCATTCAGAAACTTCTTTCCTATTTATTGTCTAGAATATACTTGACACTTTACTAATAGAATTGGAAAATAGCACACATGTAAGAAAAATAATATTTTCATGATAGAGAAATTAATATATTAAGAGCATCAGTTCTTTTAGTATTATTCATGAATTTAGAACTTAGTTATCAAGAATAATATGGTGTGTGTATTTAACTGTGATTCTCTTTGATTTTAGAGTTAAAGTACCCTTCAAAATTTTGGTTGAGTTTGCTTCTCTGAATATAATTGTGTTCTAAGCATAAACTTCACAATTGGCCTGGAAGGATGGCTCTTCTAGAACAAGTCTTTAACTATTTTTTAAAACCAGGGTTTTCAATTAAAAAGTAATTTTCTATGCAGTATCTCCTAAAAAAGAATTTTCTAATGTAGAGTGTTACTTATGTATATATATATAAAAACAACAAAAACATGATACAAAACAAAGGAAGGGGACATCTCTTTATTGCCTACTATTTTTCAAGCATTGTATAAAGACCTATAATGCAATAGTCAATAAAACCTAGATCCTACCTAGTCTCAACAAAGTTTTTTTTTTTATCCTCACCTGAGGATATTTATCCCATTGAGTGTCGACCTATGAACCCAGAGGTCACTGCTTTGATTCCCAGCTAGGGCACATACCTTGGTTGTGTGCTCAATTCCCAGTAGGGGAGGAGTAGGAGACAGCTGATCGGTATTTCTCGCTCATTGATGTTTCTGTTTCCCTCTCCCTCTTCCTTACCCCCTCTCTCTCAAATATATATTTCTTATATTATATATCTATAATATAAAAAAACACATATATGTGAAAGAGAAACATTAATTGGTTGCCTCCCACAGGCACCCTGACTGAGGCTGAGGATCAAGCCTGCGACCCAGGTAGCTATGTGCCCTTGACCAGGAGTCAAACCCACTACTCTTTGGTTTCTAGGCCAACACTCTAACCACTGAAAACACAGGCCAGGGCAATTTTTAATTTTTATGTAATTAAATAACTACAATTTGTTTTTAATTCAAACTCATGTTGATTTGGTCCTAAATCATACCATGATATGAACTTTTTTATACAATGTCTTCTCAGTGTTTGTTTCTTTACCTTTTAAATCCAGTAACATTACATATTACATTACATAAATGAGTAAGTTGTAGAAAGAAAAAACATTATAGTTCAGTATTTTAAAGGTAATAATATAGAAAAAGCAGCTGAGAATTCTATTAAAATTTTACTAAGATAGTCTGGATATTTTTATATACTGAATTAAACTTTTGTATCTTTTCCTGATTATTTCCCATTTATAAAAATAAAAATTTGCCATTAATACTCAGGTACCAACAGAGATGAGATGAATAATTCTAGTAGTTGTGAATGGTGAACTTCTAGAAACAAACAAAATAAAATACTTCTCAAATATGTACATTTTATCCCAACATTGTTTGCTGTTATTTAAAAATGCAAACATTAATTAAAATAATTGTAACACAAAAATATGTATTGAGTTAAAGTTCAGATTTATACATTTTATATTAAAATTTTTCAATGATTTTAAACTATATATTTCAAAAATAAATATTGAGTGAATAAAAAAGCACATGTTTTTATTTAATTTGATAAAGGAAGTGATTCAAATCAGAATAATTTCTAGAATATTTCTGTCTGTGTTTGAACAGAGTGCATTTAAATAGTATTGATAACTAAATATAAATTGGAATAAACATTGATAAAATAGTTGTAAATATTCTGATGTGGCTCTAGGAACTGTATGTAATACATATATTTGAAATTGAGACCTCAGAACTTCAAATATCAGTATTATTTTTAAAAATCTTATTTATTTATGTATTTAAAATATATTTTATTGATTTCAGAGTGGAAGGGACAGAGAGAGATAGAAACATTCATGGTGAGAGAGAATCATGGATGGTCTGCCTCCTCCTCCACACCTCTTACTGAGGATCACACCTGCAACCCAGGGCATGTCCTTTGAAGGGAGTAGAACCTGGGACCCTCCAATCCTCAGGCAACTCTCTATCCATTGAGCAAAACCAGCTAGGGCAAAAACCTTATTTAATAATTGGATTTTATTTGTAGAGCTGTGCAAAAAGTTTTTCCTAACAAGAGAAGCTTTATTCTGACACGGTCAACTTTTGCTGGAACTGGAGTCCATGCTGCACATTGGTTAGGAGACAACACCGCTTCATGGGAGCAAATGGAATGGTCCATCACAGGCATGCTGGAGTTCGGTTTGTTTGGAATGCCAATGGTAAGCAATTTCATGCAATGCTATTCATCAAAGCTGTGAATTACACTTAATTTTGTAATATTATTTTGTAATATTATTATCTTAATGATTTTCACTACAATGATTAAAAGTATGTTACAGAATATTAAACCTCTAGATTTAGGGAATTTATAAAAAAATACAAATATAGGTAATGTCTATAACATTCAGGAACATAGAATAAACAAAATTCAATCAGATCAAAATAAATTCATGAAACAAATATCAATCTAAAGCATATAAAGGTTTATATGATAATTGTAAAGCACCAGATAAGATAGTAGAGAAAAATCCAAATAAAAGTAAATGTCAGAAGGTTAAATATATTAAAATACTTGTTAGTTCAGGTTAAAAAGTAAACCTTTTCTCTCTATTTTAAAAAGATAAGGACAGAGATTTTTTAAAGAGTTTAAAGCAGAGAAAATTTATACTAAGAAATTTTAAACATAAGACATTTTGTAAGTCTCTTTATATTAAGCAAAAAAGTATATAATGTTATTTAAATACTAATGAGGTCCACTACAAAACAAAATAAATACATTAAGATACTATAGGATTCATTTATTTTTTTTTCTTTTATATGCACCAAACAACATAAAAACAAAGAACCTATCAAATAATAATAAAAAAACACAAACACACACAGAATCTTGATTTTGGAAATTAAAAAAAACATTATCAAATTATTTATGAGTCAAAAATAAGAGGAAGAAAAACTGATACACAAAAAAATTGAATGCTAATAATTGTGTTTATATCATAATGGTGAGACATTAGCTAAGTTGACATTTAGAGTAAAAACATATAGTATTAAATGCTTAGACTCAAAACAAAAAAGGCTGAATAATAGATACTTCTCCAAAGTGGACATACAGAAGTCCAAGAAACATAAAACCATGCTGAAAGTCACTAATCACCTGAGAGATGCAAATCAAAACAACAAAGAGGTATCATCTCACACCTGTAAGAACGACTATCAAAAACACATCAACAAACAACAAGTGCTGGCGAGGATGTGGAGAAAAGGGACCCCTCCTGCACTGCTGATGGGAACACTGACTGGTGCAGCCACTGTGGAAAACAGTATGGCGTTTCCTCAAAAAACTAAAAATGGAACTCCCATTTGACCCAGTGATCCCACTTCTAAGAATATATCCTAATAAATCAAAAACACCAATCAGAAAGAATATACTCACCCCTATGTTCATAGCAGCACAATTTACAATAGCTAAGATTTGGAAACAGCCCGAGTGCCCATCAGTAGATGAGTGGATAAAAAAGCTTTGGTACATTTACATTATGGAATACTACGCAGCTATAAAAAGGAAAGATCTCTTACCTTTTGAGACAACATGGATGGACCTAGAGAGTGTTATACTAAGCAAAATATGCCAGTTAGATAAGTATTACATGATCTCACTCCTATGTGGAATCTAATGAACAAAATAAACTGATGATCAAAATAGATCCAGAGACATAGATGCATGGAACAGACTGATGAATCTCAGAGGGAAGGCTGGGATTGGGGGTGGGAGGGGAGAGAGTAACCAGGGAACTTGTATGTATATATGCATAGCCATGGACACAGATAATAGTGTGGTGAAGGCCTGGGAGCGGGGGTGTGGGGTGAAGGGAGTCAATGGGGGAAAATCATACCCCATGGACACAGATAATATTGTGGTGAAGGCCTGGGGGGAGGGGTGTGGGGTGAAGGGAGTCAATGGGGGAAAAAGGGGACATCTGTAATACTTTCAACAATAAAGATAATTTTTTGGAAAAGGCTGAATATTGAGTAAAGTGCATAAATTAAGAAAATGAAAGAATAAAAACAGAATGAGCCTAAAGAAAGACATAGGTAATAAAAGTAAGAAAAAATGTTAGTGTCATAAATGTAAAGCCTCTAGAGAGAAAAAAAATAACAAGTCAAAGTACAAAGATAACTGAACATTTGAATAAAAAAGACCCATCTATGGAAAGTTTTGTTCAAAAGAAAAGGAAACGTAACAAATGGTAGAATGTATTTTGAGATCAGTTATTTATTTTAGTAACCAATTAATAAATATTAACCAGGAGTAAATGTTAAAAGTGAATGTATAAAGAGACAATGAAGTAAATAAAATTTAAATTAAATAAAGAAGTAAAAAGAGACAATGAAGAAAAAGAATAATGCAATTAGATGCAAGTGTGTAACAAAAATGACAAATATAGAAGCGTGGTTAAAGGGGAATATATGAAGACAGTGGAACAAAATGATTTTAAGTCATGCAAATTAATCCATTGAGGCCAAAAGTGTGTTATTCTGGCATATTTGAGAATTTTTACATGACAAGTGATAGATATGTTTATTGTCTAGGTCGGAGCAGACATCTGTGGGTTTGTGGTGGACACCACAGAAGAGCTCTGCAGAAGATGGATGCAACTTGGGGCATTCTATCCGTTTTCCAGAAACCATAATGCTGATGGATATGTGGTAAATTCCTCTTGCTTTCCCTGTTTTGAAATAAAACATAATCCTACTGTTAGCAAAGTACTTAAATTGATAGCTATATGAAATATGGTATGAAAGCTTGCAGCATAATTCATGACCAAGAGTTAGAAGTCCTCTTCTCAAGGCCTATAATTATGACCAGACAAAAATGGTCAACTAAGGAAATTATGAAACATAGTGTAGTCACTACATAAATATTTTATTTAAACCTAAAGCATATATGAGTGTTTTAAATCACAAATGTTTAAATTAAAGCCAAATATTTTTCAGTCTGGGTTCTTGGATTCTAACAAGTTCCATGTAATTTGTCTCTCATAAAATGTATAATCTATAGTAATAAAAGCATAATATGCTAATTAGACCAGACATCCTTCTGGATGCCCTTCCAGGCGATCTTCTAGACAAAGTCGGGGCTGCAAGGGAAGCCCAGGTCCTTGGTGACAGAGGGAAGCCAGTATCAGCAGCCAGAGGAAGGAAGGCCTACCCTTGCATGAATTTTGTGGACTGGGCCTCTAGTATACTATTAAGGATTCCAGTTTTTGTTTCATTAAAGGAACAACAACAACAAAAAAATTAAAGTCACTTGCAAAGCAGTTTGAGTCCAGAGTCTTTCTATAATAAACAAAACTGGAATGACATATTGGGATAAATAAAACGAATGCTTTTAAAAACATGGATCTGAGCTGTGGGAGCATAAGTACAGGACATGCTGAGCTATTCTCCCAACTCTGAGATTTCATGCTGTGGGCTCCCATGGACATATTTTTCAGAGGGAATGGGGAAATGAGGGTAAACCACTGAGTCACTTAAACGTGGGGTGGTTAAAAACGTATTTGCAGTTCACATACTGATTACATATAGGGCCTAAATTCTGTTTGAGAAGGTGTACAACAATTCAGAATTTAACCTGGAAGGAGGCATAATAGAACAGAAGTAAAAGGTATACATTGGGGAGAAGTCACTTTCTAGTCTATCGAAATCATGCTTTCAAGAAATTTGTGTTTCTTGGGAGATAGTAGTGTAGGACAAAGGGAAGGGAACAGGGGAAAGTGGAGAGAGCCTTCAGATCACAGTTAGACCTGAACGTGGTGCGATGAAGCCGAGAGAGGGGGGTTGGTAGGGAGAGTCATGTTGGGTTATAGTGTTCCTAATTTGAAAGCATTTCAGTCAGTCGCATGTCACATCCTCAAGGGAGAGGTGAGCATTAGAAGAATCATGTGTCTCTCAGAAATGGGCTTGAATAGTATTCTCACCATTCTAATTGATGAGCTGGGAGCAGCCAAAGGAAAATTTGGTTTCAGGGTAAGAAACATGATGCCGGATCCAGGGAGGCAGTAGCTGGTTCCCTTAGTTAACCCTGTTACCCATAAAGCCGGAGATGTAAGCAGGTTTGAGCACATCATTGCACCTTGGCTGAGCCACAGCTGACCTAGCTTAGGCTCTGCGGAGAGGCTCTCCTCCAGGTTGCAAGTCTGCAAATGGCCAGGTAGTTCTGCTTCTCGAATCCCCGGGACATCAGACTCCCTAGGCTTAGTATTCAAAGGCGGTGGCCAGGCTCCAGGCAGCAAGTCCTCAGGAAGCGCATTTTAAACCCTCACTTGAATGCGCCACATGGCCCAGAGTGTGTCACATAGCTGAGAAGGAAGCCAAGCAGTGGGGAGGTGTGTACTCCCCCTTTAATGGTATGGGCCACAGTGTTACATAGCAAAGGTGTGCATACAAGGAAGCATGAAAATGTGAGCTAATAAGTCATTCTGCCACAAATAATATCAGTGGAAAAATTCCGTCTTAAAATGTATTTTTATCTTCTTTTTGTGTATTTAAATGAGAAAAATCTACTTTAAAATAAAGTTTAATTAAAAAATATCCAAATAGAAACTAGAAATGTTCATATACTTTGATGATGAAATAGGAGTAATTTCATCTTTTTATGAACGAGCTAAAATTTTCTTTTCAAAAATAGATGAAATGCTTCTATATTAATTTTTATTCATATTTTAGCTTTCTCATTTCAGTTTCTCTTTTTATCCCATAGCATCAAGACCCAGCATTTTTTGGACAAAATTCTCTTTTGGTTAATTCATCAAGGCACTATTTGAATATTCGTTACACTTTATTACCTTTTCTTTATACTCTTTTTTATAAAGCCCATACGTTTGGAGAAACAGTGGCAAGGCCATTTCTTCATGAGTGAGTACAGTGTTCAAGAACTTTTATCTTTAAAATTATACTTGCTCATATATTAATAAATTAATGGAGATTGATCGGGATGTCAAGAAGATTTCTACTCCTCATTTTTACATTCATATAAATGATTTGATGAACTGTAGAATGATAGTAGAACGGTGTTTTGGACAAGATTAATGGAGAAATGTGAGTCTTGAATATAATTTAGAAAATGTAGTGAAAGTATAGAGAATGTACTAGGGAAATTATTTCAGTAAGCAAGATTAAATATAGAATTATTGAAAACATATCATTTATATAGTGTGAAAATCACCTATAGAAAAAATGTAATATAGTGGGGGAGGGGGAGGACGGGGAAACAGCAACAACAATGAATTGTACTTATCTTTGTATATCTTCACCAAGGCAAGACCTTTCCTCAAGAAATGACTAAAGATAATTTCAGCCGAACTGGTTTGGCTCAGGTCCCAGGTTTGATTCTGGTCAAGGGCATGTACCTTGGTTGCTGGCACATCCCCAGTAGGGGGTGTGCATGAGGCAGCTGATCGATCTCTCTCATCGATGTTTCTAACTCTCTGTCCCTCTTCCTTCTTTTCTGTAAAAAATCAATAAAAAATATATTTTTAAAGATAATTTCAAATCCCAGTCAACATGGAAGTTAATAATAAAAAAAAATTAAAGGGAAAAATGTAGTTTATAAAGATTTCTGATACTTTATGAACCCATCTTATAGGAGAAAATGAATTAAACAGAATAGCTATTACAGATAAAAAAATCTTCTAATATATGATAGTTTTCTTTTTAATTCCAGATGCACTAATTTCTTCCACCACCTTTCTTTCCTCTCTCCCTTCCTTTCTTCTCTCTCCAGCATCAGCATGTAAAAAATATAGATTCAAAATGACATATGAAGCAAGTAAAATTAAGCTAATAATCTTTTCCATGGAAAAAACTGTGAAGTAAAACTAATAAGGGATTTGGATAAACTCTTATTTTATCACTATGTTATAAACATTGTCATTGTTCTTAGGTTTTATCAGGACACAAATAGCTGGTTTGAGGACACTCAGTTCCTATGGGGCCCCTCATTACTTATTACCCCAGTCTTGAAGCAGGTAGGTTTTGAAATTAATAAATTTATTGCTTAAAGGGATATTTTATAACCAAATCTACACTAAACTACAAAACATCTTCATAATAAGTAATACTCAATAGAGTGTTTCAACCTAATAAATGTCAAATTAAATTCTAAAATGCGGAAGACATTTTGAAAAATTATAAAAATATTAACTAGATTTATGCTTTTAAAATACATAATGTATAACTGGTAAGAAGAAAATTGCATACTTTACTTCTGAAAAAGAAAGCTTTATGTATAGACTCAAAATCAGATCTTATTTATAATAATAAAAGTGTAATATGCTAATTAGACCAGACAGCCAAACGACCTTCCAGACGTCCTTCAGGCTGCGAGGGCTGAGGCAGCCGCCATGGTTGTGAAGGTTGAGCCCCTTGCACGAATTTTGTGCATCAGGATTCTAGTACAAATGATAATGAACTCTCATTTAAGTAGACATAGATATTTAAATTTTACTAAGTTGTAAGTAAACTTACAAACTACATACATATTATTATGCTATATGCACATATAAAATTTATCTTGCTTTATTGTAGGGAGCAGAGATAGTGAGTGCATACATCCCTGATGCTACTTGGTATGACTATGAAACTGTAAGTAACCTTAATATCATAATAGACTCACAAGTATTATATTGTGGAACATCTTTACATGGAAACTTAAGTCCAAACATGTACCATATCTATTTGCAGTATTTCTGTTATTGTTATAGAAAATGAATAATTTCAAATGTAAATAATGTGTAAAATTTGTGCATTTCATTGTAAGTGAACAAGTATATGTTGCACATGATTAATATGAAGTTATATTTTTATATAAAGAGCTATATTATTTTCAAATTGTGAAAATATAAGGTCTGGAGTAATTTTAGAAGAGTGGTGACATTTTGATACTGTTTCTATTTTGTATATTTATCTCATTGCCAGAAGAATGAGTATTGACCTAATCTTAAACACTTGTTTTATATACTACATTTAAACATTTGGGAGAGATTTTTATTTCAACCCTAAAAAGGAAATAGCAGCATTCATACACACATCCTATTTATTTACTTAAACAATACATTTTGAAAAGTGTTTCTTTTAAAAGGTGTTATTTTGCATGTCATTTATACTTATTAGGTAGATCCTTTATTTTTATAGAAACACTGATTTAAAAAAATCATTTTTAGAAACATAGTTAACTTTAAAACAAAGAATAAAATAGGGCTACTTAAGATTATTGTTAATTATTGTAGCAGAGAAATAGACTTTTCTGTTTTGTTTTTTTTATTGTGTCTTTTGTTGTTGTTGTTGAGAAAATGAACCAATTTTCCCCGTACTTTGCTCAGTAAACTGAAACAAAAAGTGTTTTCTTTAAAAGTTAGAAAACAATATTTACTTGGATGACATTAATCACTCATACTAAAAATGATCTCTACATGTAAATTTTGATGCTTGTAAAATGGGGTGTAAAGTCTATACTACTAACAAAAAGTCTTCTTTACTTCCAAATATTAGGGTATAAAAAGACCATGGAGGAAACAGCGTGTTAATATGTATCTTCCAGGAGACAAAATAGGATTACATATTAGAGGAGGTTACATTATTCCCACTCAGCAACCTGCTGTGACTACAACTGCAAGGTAACATGAAGAATTATAAACTAAAATCTAAATTATAATTTCTTTTAATATTTCATAACTTTTAAGAATCTAAGATTAATGTTTAGTTATTCATCAGAAGAAGTTTGACATATGGAGGAAATTCTTACCAACCATCATGGTTATAAAAAGAAGAATTAAATTACGTATATTGATACAAATTTATTAATTTTAAAAATAGACATAAATATATTGGAATTTTATTTTCTGTGCTAAAATGCATTGACATTCTTTATAGAATATGTATAATTAATTCTACAAAGTAAAGTTAATTAATGATTCATATAAAATATGAAATGTTAAAGTAAATTCTATACTTGATAAAAGTATCAGTTTTTAATTATTTGGATTTTCAATACCTAAAAGTCACAATACTTTTAATTCTGCCATGGTGTTTTACTATTAAGTTGATAAATGAGGTGAATAGTTCTGTTTAGATAAAGAACAAGATAGAAACTAAATTTTTCAGTAAGAGTAAAACCCAGAAATGTTTAGAAAAAAAGAAGAAACTTGAAAATTCAGGTGCTTCATCTTGTATCATTCATTCTGGGTATGAAGACACAGAAGGCGTCAATATTGAATTCACATATTTCCTCATATTCTGCAACCCCCAACACACAGTCACTCACTATTCTCCTTACCCTGAGGTATTTTTTTTCATAACATTAAGAATATCTGGAATTATATTACTTACTAGAAGCCCGGTGCATGAAAATTCATTCATTGGAGCGGGGGGGGGGGGGGGCGGGGGGGGGGGGGGGGGAATGCACTGGAGCAGGGACCTCTCAGCCTGGCCTGCCCCCTCTCACAGTCTGAGAACCCTCAGGGGTTGGCGGCGTCCTGGTGATCAGGAGAAGGCGACGCCTCCATCACACCTCTGTTGCTGCCACTGCCGGCAGCGCAAGCCTTGGCCGGCCCTGGTTACCTGAGCCTCGGGTGGCCCTGGGCAACTGGGGGGCTGAGGGGACTGGGAGCCTCCAGAGGGAGGCACTGGGCACCACCATCTTTGTGACGGAGTGATGGTTAATTTCCATATTATCCTTTTATTAGATAGGTTGATCCCATAAGGTTACTTTCAGTCACTTCTTGCTGTGCACCTGCCACCCCAGTGGGGCTGAGGGGACTGGGCGCTGCCATCTTGTGACTGTGGGCGCCACCATCTTTGAGGGCAGGGCAGTCAATTAGCATATTCCCTCCTTACTCTAGTTCCATGAAGGCAAGGACTTGACTTTTGACTACTTTAGTGCCCAGACAAATAATAGTATCTTGCCCCTAATAAGCTGGCTTTCTATTTTCTCTAAACATTTGTTAAAGGAACAAATTAATGAGTGAATGAATGTGCTAGTAATTTCATTATTTTGGCATTCTATAATTGTTTCCTTTAATACTGTAATTGTTTCATGACTGTTCTCAGAACAATGGGTTATACTCTAAAGCTGTATTAAACAAGAGGCCGGGGAGGGGTGGGGGGATGGGTAAGAGATCAACCGAAGGACTTGTATGCATGCATATAAGAATAACCAATGGACACAAGACACTGGCGGGTAGGGGAGGCCAGGGGAAGGTCAAGGGGGAAAATAAAAAGGAGACATATGTACTACTCTTTGTAATATTTTATGCCATAAAACAAAATTTAAAACAACAAACAAACAAAATAAAAAATAAACAAGAGAAACACATTTTGGTGAGTGTATTCTGGAAGAAAGATAGTCTGAATAGAGCAGTTGCCTATACCATATAGCTTCAAGGGTATTATTTTAGGTTAAAAACCTAAAATGATATATATCAGGAAAATTTTAGTGATCATATGCCCCATTGCTTATAATAGAATTAGCTTCCTTCCCAAGATTATTAGAGATCTCAGTAAGTGCTTACAAATGTTAGGCTTTTCATTACTTTGTTTATAAGATGTGGCCTTGATACATTGCAATTTGGGATTAATTGAAATGTGACAAATATGTGATGTATTGAGCATTCATAAGATATATTTAATTCTAATTGAAATATACTGTTTCTAAAGTGCTGGTGTCTTAGCTTCCAAGAAACTCTTTATTTATTATATTCATTCCTTTAATTTATTTTATAATCTTACAAATTATTTCATCATTAAAAATTAAAATGAGCATAGACATGAATTTTATTAACATTTTCTCATATGAATGTGTAATTCATACAAATCCATTAGTTTGAAATGGACATAATTAGAGGAACTTTTCATATTATAATTCATTTTTAATCATATATGCTTACAAACTTACTTAACAGCCGAAAGAACCCTCTAGGACTTATAGTTGCATTGGATGAAGATAACACAGCAAAAGGAGACTTTTTCTGGGATGATGGAGAAACTAAAGGTAAGTCTCAAAGGGGACATGCTTCTTATTTTATTACTGATTTCAGAGAGGAAGGGAATGAGAAAGAGAAATAGAAATATCAATGATGAGAGAGAATCATTGATAGACTGCCACATTCATGCTCCCCACTAGGGATCCAGCCCATAACTCAGGAATGTGTCCTGACCAGGAATTGAGCTATGACCTCCTAGTTTGTAGGTCAATGCTCAACGACTGAACCATGCTGGCCAGTCAAGAAGATGTACTTTTAAATGTTCATTCTGATGACGGACAATTTTGACTTTATTAATGTAAAATTGCATTCACTTCAAAACTGTCACATGTTTTAATTTTTAATTCCTGTTTTTAATCTATTTTAGGGTCTATGTTACTTTATGAAATTTAACATTGTTATTTAAATTATATTTTAATTGCAATATTTAATTTGGTCTATTGGATCAGTATAAATGTCTTGGACAAGTATAGAGAGTTTATTAGATTATTCTTCTTAATTAAACTAGTTAAATCCACATGTACAAATCACATCAAATTTTCAACTACCGTACATGATTCTAGTGATTAAAAATAAAATTTTATTACTGTAAAAACAAAAAGAAATATATTTAAAGGTGTCAAATTATTTTATAAGAATGTTACTATATAAATGTTTCACAATTTATTTCACTTATTGTGCCTTTAATTTAATTTCATGAGTCCAAACTTGAGAATTCAATAAACCAAGAGAATAAAGAACCAATTCTTTCAAATATCTAATTATGTCAATAAAATATATCTGTTTGGCTATAATTTGTCTATTACAACTACCTTCATAAGTTTGTGAAGTATTTGTATCCCATTTCTCTTAGTAGAGGGCTCTGAAGTATGTTTTTAATATATGTGTATACAAAATAGTTTGGCTCCTATTTTATAGGGCACTACTTCTCTGTGTAGTAAAGACTCTCCTGCGCCTTTAAACATCCAAATATTTCTAAATTAACTCCAAGAAGTAGTCTTCTTGGTGTGCTCTCTTAGAATTTGAAAATATGGAATCTATGAAAAATCTACTAGAGGTCTGGTGCACGAATTCATGCACAGGTGGGGTCCCTCATCCTGGCCGGCGATCAGGGCCAATCAGGGCCATCTCACACAGTACTGGGGGGAGGGGGGGATAGCGATAGATTGGCCAGCCAGCCCAGATAGGTCCAATGGGGGAAGGGGAGGAATCAATCAGGCCTGGCCAGCAGGGGTGTAGGGGAGACCTCAAGATGTTGGCCTGCCACAGGAGGTTGGCTGTGGGAGTGCACTGAGCACCAGAGGGCAGCTCCTGCATTGAGCTTCTGCCCTCTGGTGGTCAGTGTGCACCATAGTGACTGGTTTCCCACTGCCACCCACCCCTGCTTCCCCATTCGCCATCGAGTGATTGGTGCCTGACGGCCGGGGGAAGAGGCCAAGAGGCCGGGTGTTCTTGCCTGCTCTCTGGCCCTGAGCCTGCTGCGGGTGGCCATCAGGTGATCAGAGCCTGCCAGCTGGGGAAAGAGACCAAGAGGTGGTCAGTGCGCCTCATAGTGACGGGTCCAGCAGTCATTCTGGTTGTTCTGCTGTTAGGGTCAATTTGCATATTACCCTTTTATTATATAAGATTATTATATAGGATAGATAGATTTTGCTAAATCAGCCCTTTTACATTCTATTGACAATCCAGCAGGTAGAGGCGCATTCTTTCAAAAGATGATTCAAATCATCCCATCTCTGCTCAAGACCATATAATGCTTTTCTGTTTCACTCAGTTAGGACCTACAGTATTTAACAAGACTTAAAGCACTCGCTATTACCTGCACTTTTGTGTGCACACATCTCTCTCTCTCTCTCTCTCTCTCTCTTCTCTCTCTCTCTCTCTCTCTCTCTCTCTCTCCCGTTATCCCCTGCAGCCCTCTATGTATCATTCTACTTTAGCACACCAGCCTTCTTAATTTTTCTCAAATACCTTAGAGCCTAAGAACACTAGAGAGAGCTGGACAATGAAAATAGGTGCCAAGCATTTACTACATAGAAATGGCATAAAAGTGGACTCCAGCAAACTAAATTATTTGTAAATGGCAATAAAAAATGTTGAGAAAATACTTCTGCTATTAGCACGTGGAACTTGATTTTAAGATTATTTTTGTTTCTTTAATGATATAAATATCCCAAATATATTTATCTTTTCAACTTGTAAAACTTGATATTGGTAATCTACCTTTACATAGAAGATGAATGAAAATATGAAAGTATGATTTAATCAGTCAACTAAAGATGATATCTATATAATTATGTGCTTTCAAAAGATAAAATCACCGTTTTATAAATAATTAACTTGTAAGTAAACATACAAACAACAAAATGACCTTAAATTCAGGTTCTGATTCTAATTTTATTCCTTAGGATTCAAATTATAAGTAAATTAATGTTATTGAGAGAATTGTGTAAATCCTAGGATCCCCTTTATATTTTTACTCTCTTTCTTTGAAAAACGTTTGCTCATAATTTTGCTTCTCTGTTAAAGAAAAATGTTGATAAAAATTTTTAATTTTTATTATAAGTTTTGTTTTCTCTGAATTTCCATAAACATTTTAGCAGTCTTTAAAAAATTGAACTAAACAAATGTTCACTGACTACCTTTATTTACTGGAAACTATACTACTGGAAGTACTCTATTTAGAGGAAAAATAAAAACCTTAATTTAAATGGAAAATTTGCTTTATTAATAAATAGTATTTTTTTCAAAGTTCTTTTTTGTTTCTTTTGTTAATCCTCACCCATTGGTTTTTAGAGAGTAGGACAGAAGGAGGGAGAGAAAGAGAAACATGGATTGGTTGCCTCTTGCACACACCCTGATTGGGATTGAACCTGCAACCCAGATACATGACCTTGACTGGGAATCAAACCTGTGACCTTCTGGGTCATGGGCTGATGCTCTAACCACTGAACATACCATCCAGGGCCAAAATTCTTCTCTTGTATAATTGTAAAAATAGAGCACAAATGTTAACATAACAATGTGATCTAATAACTTACTTTTTTTCTATTTCAGATACCATAGAAAAAGGCATCTACATTTTTTACAAATTTTCTGTTTCTAATGTAAGCATTCTCCTTGGACATAGTTAAATATATACCTCATTTAAGTCTGGGTTATGCCTTTATTATGGATTTTTTGAAATATTTTTACATTGACATCCAGATTTCAATAGAAAGAAATGAAATAAATTATGAAATTAAATTATTAAATTATAAATAAAATGTTAGCTTACATTTTAAAATATTTAAATGTAATCAGTAATTTAATGATGATGAATTGAAGCATAGATATTTTCAGACTTTTAAAAGTATTATGTCTGGTTTAAGAAACATGCTATAGAAAAATAATCTCAACTTACCTGAATATGTTTTATATATCAGACATAGCAATAGTTGTCATGGATTTAAAGTGATGATGAAAAAAATAATCTATGTACAAGGTTACATTTTGAATAATTAATAGCAATGTTTTTTGTAGGTATTGAGTTTCTTTATATATTATTTTTTATCCCAAACCAAGTTGTTCTTTAACATTAGGGCTGAAGTAGAAAGGTTATATATTAGTTGTGATCTTTGATAATAAATGTTTTTCATGTTTACAAAAAACTGAAGAGTTACTAATGGGCATATTTATATATGCTACTTGGACATGGACAGCTGGTGGGAATGGAAGGATAGATGATTGGTTCTCTTTGTATTTCATAATTGCATTGTTATTTCATTATGTATCCAAAGACCTTCTATTTAGTATAGAATATTACATATATAAATATATATATATTTTTTGCAGAACAAATTAGATATCAGCTGCACACACTCATCATACCAAGAAGGAACTGCTTTAGCATTTGAGACTATTAAAATCCTGGGGCTCACAGACAATGTTATAGGAGTTACAGTGAAAGAAAATAATCAACCAATGCAGAATCACTACAATTACACTTATGATGCTTCCAGCAAGGTAAATATCATCTTTTAATATATTTTACTTTTCATATACTCTCATATTTAACATTGCATAACCACTCAGGCTCTTGGTTTTGTGATTTTCTTTTCTTTTCTTTTCTTTTCTTTTCTTTTCTTTTCTTTTCTTTTCTTTTCTTTTCTTTTCTTTTCTTTTCTCTTCTTCTTTTCTTTTCTTCTCCTTGTGCTGCCAATATTTCATTTTAGGTCATTCCAGTTTATACTTAGACTAGGGGCCCAGTGCATGAAGATTTGTGCACTGGGTGGGGGCTTGAGGGGGGTGGAG